CTCCAAGCATGTGAGGTACTGGCTTCTGTGTATCAGTTTTAGACATCACTATGGTGATTACACAATGAGTAAATTCATAAGTTAAAATAGTTAAAATTGTTCTATTGATATCTAATGATATATTTTTTGTGTTTACAGAACCACACCAAGGTGTCTGACAACTCCACTGGGTATATGGGCAACGTGTCTGAGAACCCCGATGTGGATCTGTATGCACTTATATACGGGTTGTTTATTTGTTCCCTTGTTGTAGCTGTGGCCATCAGAGGGGTCATCTTCATGAAGGTCAGTGTCTATCTGTCTGTCTGTTACCATCTGTCTGTTACTGTTTGTTTGTCTGCCTGTCTGAATATGTGTCTGTCTACCTGTCTGCTTGTCTGTGTGTCTGTTACCATCTGAGTGTGTGTGTGTGTGCATGCATGTGTGTGTGTTATCCTGTTATTGCCTGTGTGTGTGTTATCCTGTTATTGCCTGTGTGTGTGTTATCCTGTTATTGCCTGTGTGTCTGTTATCCTGTTATTGCCTCTGTGTCCGTTATCCTGTTATTGCCTGTGTGTCTGTTATCCTGTTATTGCCTGTTATCCTGTAATTGCCTGTGTGTCCATTATCCTGTTATTGCCTGTGTGTCTGTTATCCTGTTATTGCCTGTGTGTCTGTTATCCTGTTATTGCCTGTGTGTCCGTTATCCTGTTATTGCCTGTGTGCCTGTTATTGCCTGTGTGTCCATTATCCTGTTATTGCCTGTGTGTCCGTTATCCTGTTATTGCCTGTGTGTCTGTTATCCTGTTATTGCCTGTGTGTCTGTTATCCTGTTATTGCCTGTGTGTGTGTTATCCTGTTATTGCCTGTGTGTGTTATTGTTGCCTTCTGTGTGTGTCTGTGTCTGCTCTCTCTCTCTCCTTCTCTCTCTCTCTCTCTTTCTCTCTCTGTTACTGTCTGTCTCTGTATTTCAGTCTGCTTGTCTGTCTGTTACCTTCTGTCTGTCTGATGTTTATTCTCTCCATGAATTTTGAAACATCCAAAGACTGGGTGAAGATGGAGGTTAACAATTCGACTTCAGCAACCCATCCTCAGCACCCCCATCCTTCAGCAAGCTGATCCTTGTCACAAGAGTTCACTGCCCTTGTCAACTATCTCGAGGTTGCATGCTCAGGCTTTATCCCTCTCAACGAACGCTTTTATGGGGTATTAAATGGACTCCGCGGCGTAAGTATAGGCACCGGGTCCGTCCGGTCTGCGGCACATTTGTCTTTTCCGAGCAGAACTCTAAAACTGTTCAATATTTCTTCACCAAACTTGGCACATAGATAGATCTGGTGGTGTACTGGTGCCTTTTGGTAGTTTTGGAATTCTGAATAAAACATTTTTGGCATTTCCATGGCAAAAGTTCGACTTAGCCTGAAATTGGTGGTAGTGCACTTTTCTCGAGCAGAACTCTAAAACCGTTAACTATTTCTTTTACCAAACTTGGCACATACATAGATCTGGTGGTGTACTGGTGCCTTTTGGTAGTTTGGGAATTCTGAATAAAATATTTTGGCGCTTCCATGGCAAAAAAGTTCGACTTAGCCCTGGAAATTGGTGGTAGTGCACTTTTCCTCGAGCAGAACTCTAAAACTGTTCACTATTTCTTCACCAAACTTGGCACATACATAGATCTGGTGGTGTACTGGTGCCTTTGGTAGTTTTGGAATTCTGAATAAAATATTTTGGCATTTCCATGGCAACAAGTTCGACTTAGCCTGAAATTGGTGGTTGTGCTCCTTTCCGGAGCAGAACTCTAAAACCGTTCACTATTTCTTCACCAAACTTGGCACATAGATAGATCTGGTGGTGTACTGGTGCCTTTTGGTAGTTTTGGAATTCTGAATAAAATATTTTTGGCATTTTCCATGGCAACAAGTTTGACTTAGCCTGAAATTGGTGGTTGTGCTCTTTTCCAGAGGTGAACTCTAAAACTGTTCACTATTTCTTTACCAAACTTGGCACATAGATTGGTCTGGTGGTGTACTGGTGCCTTTTGGTAGTTTTGGAATTGTGAATAAAATATTTTTGGCGTTTCCATGGCAACAAGTTGACTTAGCCTGAAATTGGTGGTAGTGCACTTTTCCGGAGCAGAACTCTAAAACCGTTCACTATTTCTTCACCAAACTTGGCACATACATAGATCTGGTGGTGTACTGGTGCCTTTTGGTAGTTTGGGAATTCTGAATAAAACATTTTTGGCGTTGCCATGGCAAAAAGTTCGACTTAGCCTGAAATTGGTGGTAGTGCACTTTTCCGGAGCAGAACTCTAAAACCGTTCACTATTTCTTTACCAAACTTGGCACATACATAGATCTGGTGGTGTACTGGAGCCTTTTGGTAGTTTTGGAATTCTGAATAAAATATTTTTGTCATTTCCATGGCAACAAGTTCGACTTAGCCTGAAATTGGTGGTTGTGCTCCTTTCCGGAGCAGAACTCTAAAACCGTTAACTATTTCTTCACCAAACTTGGCACATAGATAGATCAGGTGGTGTACTGGTGCCTTTTGGTAGTTTTGGAATTCTGAATAAATATTTTTGGCATTTCCGTGGCACCATGGCAACAAATTTGACTTAGCCTGAAATTGGTGGTTGTGCTCTTTTCCAGAGGTGAACTCTAAAACTGTTCACTATTTCTTCACCAAACTTGGCACATAGATTGGTCTGGTGGTGTACTGGTGCCTTTTGGTAGTTTTGGAATTGGTGATAGTGCTCCTTTCTGGAGCAGAACTTTAAAAACCTTTCAATACTCTCCTTCCACTTTTCTATAATACACACCTAAATATTTGACATAATCATACCTCGTAGACATAATCATGAACAGTATTTTGCCATTGCGGGGGATATTGATGACTTTGTCTTCTTGTTGACGCATGTTTTGGTTTCATAAACTGTGTAGATCAATACTTACTTGTTCGGCCTAGATCTGATTAGTTTCAGGCCATGTCATATGGCTGGAATATTGCATAGAGCGTCACTAAAATGTAACAGCGATATATGATTTGAAAACAGACGAATACTTGTAAGTGGTTCAGGGATTTATTGTCTTGGATGATGGATCAGGTGATAAAACCCTTGAAATAAAACATAAACATCTCAAATAACACAATTAAATACAATCTATATTACACAAACACACACACATGCACACGCACACACACACTCTTTCTCATGTCATCCATAATATGTACCTAATCTACAATGTATACACTATAGTCTACATTAACCAAACGTGTAATAATTATAATATATAACAGTGTGTCATGATATTAAGCATATAGAATATTTACATCATATCATCATGTAGATGATATTACAGCACATAATATATTTCAGACATATGATTAAAATGATAAATTAACTAGACTAAAACATCATATCCTAACCTCCTTATGATAATATACATACCACGACATCTAAAGTAACTTACCCCAATAATTTCAGTGCTGTGATAAAGGAGACAGAGTTGGAATTGTTGCAGTCAAGAGTTGAAATTGTAGCAGTGACCAGGACAAAGAATGTTGGGGTACATAAAACTCCAGATCTGGTCACATGCTCTAGAAACAATAGCAAATCAATCACTGGCCATGCCGTGGCTGGGCCAGGAGTCTGAAGAAAAATAGAACCCCATGCAGGCTTACATAACTTAACCTAGGGATAGTAGAGTGCTGTGTGAATTCAAAGGGTTGTTATATTGCTTAACTAAATTATATACTTAGGTTTAAAATACTGTTCACTATTTCTTCACCAAACTTGGCACATAGATTGGTCTGGTGGTGTACTGGTGCCTTTTGGTAGTTTTGGAATTGGTGATAGTGCTCCTTTCTGGAGCAGAACTTTAAAAACCTTTCAATACTCTCCTTCCACTTTTCTATAATACACACCTAAATATTTGACATAATCATACCTCGTAGACATAATCATGAACAGTATTTTGCCATTGCGGGGGATATTGATGACTTTGTCTTCTTGTTGACGCATGTTTTGGTTTCATAAACTGTGTAGATCAATACTTACTTGTTCGGCCTAGATCTGATTAGTTTCAGGCCATGTCATATGGCTGGAATATTGCATAGAGCGTCACTAAAATGTAACAGCTATATATATGATTTGAAAACAGACGAATACTTGTAAGTGGTTCAGGGATTTATTGTCTTGGATGATGGATCAGGTGATAAAACCCTTGAAATAAAACATAAACATCTCAAATAACACAATTAAATACAATCTATATTACACAAACACACACACATGCACACGCACACACACACACACTCTTTCTCATGTCATCCATAATATGTACCTAATCTACAATGTATACACTATAGTCTACATTAACCAAACGTGTAATAATTATAATATATAACAGTGTGTCATGATATTAAGCATATAGAATATTTACATCATATCATCATGTAGATGATATTACAGCACATAATATATTTCAGACATATGATTAAAATGATAAATTAACTAGACTAAAACATCATATCCTAACCTCCTTATAATAATATACATACAAAGACATCTAAAGTAACTTACCCCAATAATTTCAGTGCTGTGATAAAGGAGACAGAGTTGGAATTGTTGCAGTCAAGAGTTGAAATTGTAGCAGTGACCAGGACAAAGAATGTTGGGGTACATAAAACTCCAGATCTGGTCACATGCTCTAGAAACAATAGCAAATCAATCACTGGCCAAGCCGTGGCTGGACCAGGAGTCTGAAGAAAAATAGAACCCCATGCAGGCTTACATAACTTAACCTAGGGATAGTAGAGAACTGTGTGAATTCAAAGGGTTGTTATATTGCTTAACTAAATTATATACTTAGGTTTAAAATACACAATATTTACATTCTGCTACAAAAACAACAGACGAATGTCCATGAATCAGGATAGGTACTGTGTCTGTAGTGTATGTGACTGTATTCCATATAGACAAATGGCTTCCTTCTTTCAGATAATGTTGAGAGCCAGCAGCCGTCTCCATCAACAGTTGTTGAAGAAAACAATCAAGAGTCAGATGAAGTTCTTCGACCACGACCCCACTCGGCATAATACTCAATAGATACGCCATGGACATGGATGAGAGTACGGTTTATTCATCTTCCCTGTAAAAAATAGCTTCAGGGTTTCAGGATCAAACATGCCCTAAGTTAGCTGGTGCTTGGTGGGAGACATGGAAGATGTACCATAGCTTGAGGAAACGCTTGGGGGTTTTAAGATCAAACATGCCCTAAGTTAGCTGGTGCTTGGTGGGAGACATGGAAGATGTACTATAGCTTGAGGCAATGCTTGGGGGTTGTTTCAGATCAAACATGCCCTAAGTTAGCTGGTGCTTGGTGGGAGACATGGAAGATGTACTATAGCTTGAGGCAATGCTTGGGGGTTTCAGGATCAAACATGCCCTAAGTTAGCTGGTGCTTGGTGGGAGATATGGAAGATGTACTATAGCTTGAGGCAATGCTTGGGGGTTTCAGGATCAAACATGTCCTAAGTTAGCTGGTGCTTGGTGGGAGACATGGAAGATGTACTATAGCTTGAGGCAATGCTTGGGGGTTTCAGGATCAAACATGCCCTAGGGGTTTCAGGATCAAACATGCCCTAAGTTAGCTGGTGCTTGGTGGGAGACATGGAAGATGTACTATAGCTTGAGGAAACGCTTTTAGGGGTTTTTAAGATCAAACATGCCCAAGTTAGCTGGTGCTTGGTGGGAGACATGGAAGATCATTTAAGCTTTGGTTTCAGGAAACGCCTAAGCTTGAGACTTCAGGATCAAACATGCCCTAAGTTAGCTTGGTGGGGAGACATGGAAGATGTACCATAGCTTGAGGAAACGCTTGGGGGTTTCAGGATCAAACATGCCCTAAGTTAGCTGGTGCTTGGTGGGAGACATGGAAGATGTACTATAGCTTGAGACAACGCTTGGGGGTTTCAGGATCAAACATGCCCTAAGTTAGCTGGTGCTTGGTGGGAGACATGGAAGATGTACTATAGCTTGAGGCCATGCTGAAACAATGCTTAATTAGAACTGAGGCTATATACACTAGCCAAATGATTTACTTTGTTTTGAACATTTTTCTAAATATATTCATGTGTGAAGCCCATTACTGGTGTCCCCCACCGTGATATTGCTGGAATATTGCTAAAAGCGTTAAAACTAAACTCACTCAATCACTCACTCAACCGTTGACCCATAACTCATAGCCACGGTCAAGGTGATGTACTTGTTAAAGGACAGAGTATGGTCCAAGTCCAAGTTCCCAGTTTCTTCAGTAAAGGTCCAGACAGTGTATCTATAATACCTTGAGGAATAACACTAAAAATTATTGGGATGTTCTTCAACTGTTTGACAGATGTACATCTTTGAGTAATCAGAATAACAAAATGATGTTCAAAATAATTGAATAAATTTTGCCAGGAGGTCCAATTAGCCAGGGGTCAAGGTCGCTTGTTCATCATCCCTCTAACCTCTCAGGATCGCTCGCCATCTTCAAGATTGCTGTGACGATATATCTGATGAATATACCTGCATGGATGTTGAATGTGTTTTTGTTTATTTTCATAACATCAGTATATTTTTTCCTGAATGTGTATGTTATTTATTTTTTATTCTAACATAATGCAATGTATCTAAGATTCTTTAGCCTTATACTTTACGTTCTTAAACAAAAACAGTATTTATTTTATTTTGCATCTAAATCATATAACGGAATGATCGTATGACTGGTATTTCCATTATTTGACTGTTCTCCTTTTTTTCAGTTGATGTTCGATTGCCGTCTAACTGCGAGCTCTTCCTGCAGAATGTGTTCCTCGTGTTGTTTGCCCTTGTGATGATTTCTGTCGTGTTTCCGTGGGACCTGCTTGTGATTCTGCCTCTTGCCATTGTGTTTATTGTGTTGACTGTTGTGTTTGCTCCAGTCCTGCAGCAACTCAAATACGTTGATAATGTCACCCGCTCGCCATACCTTAGCCACCTCGCTGCGTCCATTGACGGAATCTCAACTATACATGTATTTGGGCAGTCTCAGCGCTTTATTAGACAGTAAGATATTACAATGTCGTCATAATATGCAATGTATTCATTTGTGGGGTAATATTGTATGGATGTCCTGCTTGAGATATATTTTTCAAAACACGTTAAAGAACTTGGAATTTGGAAGGTTGTGTTTTGTAAAACCCACAAGATTAACTACAGTGGAAGCTGTCAAAATCGGCACCTGTCCAATCTGGCAAGTTGTCAACACCGGCATAAAATCTCAGTCCAGTCCGTGGCTAGAACATTTGTCGTGATTTTAAAGCTCTGCTATCTGGCAGCTGTCAATTCCGGATTTTGCAGAAAATGAGACGCTCAAAATTGTGTTTATACAGTAATTAGCATTGTCTAACTCAGCGCATGGCGAGGAGTGGGCCCGGATGTGTATTGTCACAAATTAATCCTGCGTTGAAACTACATGAAGATAATTTAATCTTAGTTCAGTATGGGTATACTTGTACATGTAATTTGTGAGTATGAGCTCAAATGTTTGTCTTTTATTGTCAATGTGTGCTGTAATTGAGAGAATCACATGATAAAACAATGCACATTGTGTATGAGAGTGACAAATCTGGTACAGTTGTAGTCGATGGTAACCGTGTCAACTCTACAACCTGACACGCTGTCTAAACCGGATTATTTCTTCAATCATGACAAGTGCCGATTTAGACAGCTTCCACTGTATAGTCATGGGAAAAAACTGGGTTCTTGACTTCTATTGTGTAGTATACGTAAGGAAATCTGGTTGCCTTAATTCACCTGGTTCTGGTCACACAAAGCCATCATGGAGCTAAGGTGGCTGTAACTCCACAATTCTTGGACATTGGCTTATGACTTGATACATGTCATCGCATCCCAATTGCAATGAATGAGGTTCATGTGGTCAGTCATGGGATTGTTTGGTCCAGGATTGATTATTAACAGACTACCATCGCAGCTCAAAAATGACTGAGTTCAGCATTAAACAACAAATCAAACCAAATCAAACCAGCACTTTGGCCTCTTTCTAGGTCATTATTCCGGTAAACCTTCAAACAAATATTATGTAAAATTACCGAGTGCAGTGACAAACTAACAAGTGAATAAACAAACAAAACTATTGAGAGAAGAAATTTTCGTCACATTGAGTTTTCTCATATTGACAAATGTCCTTCATGTTTTCAGTAGAAATTACTTCTTGACAAACTAAAGGCCAGATATTTACATTGAAGAATTTGTTTGATTAAGTTGAATGTTTTCTAAGTTTCATTATATTTTTGTTTCAGATTTTGTGATATGTTGGATAAAAACTCATTGCCATTCTTCCTGTTCTATATGGCCAATCGCTGGCTTGCTCTCTTTCTTGATCTTATGACGATCGCCGTCATTGGTGCTACAGGATTTCTAGTCGTATTTACTCTGGACTCTGAGAATTCAGCTGATGCTGGCTTAGCCCTTTCTTTCGCCATTCAGGTAAGTAAATCTGTTATTGATCTCTATGTAAATCTGTAATTTCATTGTATTAACACATTGATTGGTGTAAGAATGTAGTCTGATAGTATTCATTGACATTGTACAATGGTTGGTATTAGTGGCTAAAGGATCATTAAAGGTCACATAAACCCTAGGGGGTAAAAATACATAAATCACTAACTGGCATCGGTATAAATGAAACCCCGTCATTAAAACTACTCATTTCGACCTTTAATTGACTTAAATCGACCTTTTTGACAACAGTGCACAATTCTCACCCCAAGAACGAAATTTCAACCAATCAGGAGCTGCGCACTCTGTGACGTCATATGAGGAATAACTTTTAGGGCCGATGCAGAATTCATCTACATTTTAGGGGGTAAATTATCTTGTTTACAGGCTTGTATAAACCTGAAATCGCGTGACAATTGTTGTGGAAAATGAAAGCTATATGTTCTCACAATCTACTGGCATTTAATTTTGTCTCCTGCTTTGCCTAGTTTCCGAGTTACAACTTGTTTTTTCATAGACGCTTCTGTCACAATTGATGGTGTCGTTAGGCCCTATTTGTATAATGACTGATCCAAATTGATCCCATTTCTGTGTTTTTTGACCTCGATATTTAATCATGTCATGTAAAAATCTGTTTGTATTCTCAAAACAGTGTCGGCCCATAAGTTTTCACATGCAATACAGCAATTAATACTCCCTTGTTGTAACCCGTGTTAGGTGGTATAAACCTACACATGTTATTTGTCATAATTCACTTGATGGTCAGTTAATGAATTTATAACAGGTATAATTAGTGGTAACACACTTAGATTACCCGACAAAGGTTCCCATTTGGCATTTCTTGTGTCTGGAGTAAATATTCAACATTATAAACATCGATCAAAGGATTAACCGATAACACGCTGATTGATTAATTACTTTTATCTTACACAGCGGATTGGTCAAAAGGTAGTGTTTATGTTTGTAGATTTACTAATCTATACTGAATACACTCTGCCGTAATCGGTGTCTCTGCGTGAAAACAACGTCCTTCTTTCAAAGGATTAACCGGCAATACATTGATTGATTGCCCATTATTGGCTAACTAAATTACTGTTTTTTAATGAAAGGCGGACATTATGCAATTAGTTGCCAGGTGTGCTATCTTGGGTGACCAATGAGACTATACACCAATACCTGAAAAGATTTATCACTTTTTCGTATATTAAACTGTTTAAAAGACACATCATTTGGAACAGTTTTGTGGATATTGATGGATACATTCCTCAAACAAGGTAATGGCCTGATATTGTTCCTATAACTTTAATCTGTTTTAATTTTAATATTTGCATTTTGTTTTTATTCATTTGTCGTAGCATTCAACAGAATCATTGTTTTTCGCCGTGAAGTGTAATGAGACAGACAACATACACTAGGTGTGTGTGCGAATTATGATTCACATTGGCAAACTATAAAATGTCTAGATATTACAGTTCTGTTATAAATTCACTATAAGTATCAGCAGGTCGTCAGCTTTTATTTAGTTTCAAAATGCATAAAAGTATGATAATAAACTAATTAGGATTATAAGACCAAATATAAAGACGCATTATTGACTAGTATCTACATACTGGTGAGTGGACATTAACCATGTGAATGTAGCAAGAAATTTATCGCAGTATTGTGACTTCGATTCCCCACCTCGCCGTGGAAGAAATCGTTATGTTATAAGTTGTGTCATGCAAAATCCTTTGGTTATGATTCCAATACATATTTAACTACGAGTAGAAAGTAGTTTTGATTTTCTAACTTGATGAAAACAAACTATAATCTCATTAATTCTAACAGACTTTACGATTTTCCAAAAATGATGCGCCTCTGTCGGGAACATCCGGCCAGTCTGTGGATAAATGCTATTTAGGTTTGTTTTCACCGAAGTTACAAAATCAAAACTACTTTTACTGGTAGTAAAATATGTATTTTATTGATGGCCAATAGGATTTTGCATGACATAGCGTATAACATAACAATTTCTCTCCTGGCAGCGAGGTGGGTGTCAATATAATACTACTTTACAATATTATTGTGACTTCGACCACAACCTCACTTCCGGAGGAAGAAATCGTTATGTTACAAGTTGTGTTATGGAAAATCTTTATGGTCATCAATCATATACATAATGTACTATAACTAGTAAGTAGTTTTGATTCTTTAACTCCGCGGAAGCCGATCTGAACACAAGTAAGATATCGTTTCAGGCTTCCACAACGCCGCTTCAAGACTCACAAACATAACCCATTTAGCACGAACTCCGCGGGTCCTGTGGAAATCTGTGCATGGTGACACCATCACCCCGACCCTAGGAGCAATTGACGACCAAAGCAACGATTCGGCATGTCGCCGTTGATGTCGAAATCATCAAAATGATGAGCGCAAGGCTACACACTTTCTATACAACTAACTGAAAATCGCTCCTCATATGACGCCAATGCAGTGCTCTGGCGACAGAGTTACGTGAACCTGTCTGTGGTTTCTAATTGGCGGTTAAGACCTGGGTTAAAATCGACCATCAGCAACCGATACATGTTGTAAGAGGTGACAAATGGGGTTAGAGACCATTCATAATTTTTGGCTAGGGGTGATAATGAGTTTTATGAGAAGATGTGCAATGGGACTGCCCCCCAAAAAAAATGTATGTACAAAGTAAGTGCCCCCCATGTCAGTGTACAAAATCAGTGACCCTCCCCTGCCTGCACTTGCACCACGCACTACTTCCCCAGAACAAAATGGCTGACCCCCCTTAAAATCATCACCACCACCCCCTAGCCATAAATTATGAATGTACCCTTAGGTGGTCTGGCTACTGACTTGTCAGCTTGTCCCACTTATGTGGATTCAGGGACATGATGTCAGTCACTGGATTGTCTGGTCCAGACTCGATTATTTACAGACTACTGTCGTATTGCTGGAATATTGCAAAGTATTGCGTGAAAACATGAACTTACAAAAATTAGAAATGGCATGTGGAAAGTAAAAACTAAAAGCAAAACAAAATCAACCTGTAGATCTACTTTCTTTCATGACGAAATGTATATCATGAATATGACATAAAGACCACTTAAATAAATTATCCACTCAGCCACAATGCTAGTGTTCTGAGAACAGTTTCTCATGGCTTCCAAACCCCAAAGTCCTGGTTATGATTCTTAGTCTCTAAACACTATGATCAACATATCTGTATATGATTTTTGCCTTTTAGAGTCTTTCTCCCTTACAATGCAGTCACACTGACATAATGTTCAAAGTGGTTTCAAAATCCAAATCTCACAGACAGTGACTGTATTGAGTGAATGAGTGACAATATCCTCCACTTGCCGTGGGGCAGTGGGGTAGCCTAGTGGTTAAAGCGTTCACTCATCATGCCGAAGACCTGGGTTCAATTCCCGACATGGCTACCATGTGTCAAGTCCATTTCTGGTGTCCCCACCTTGATATTGCTGGAATAGCAATGAAAACGGCGTAAAACCCGACTCACTCACTCACTCACTCACTCACTCACTCACTCACTCACTCACTCACTCACTCACTCACTCACTCACTCACTCACTCACTCACTCACTCACTCACTCACTCACTCACTCACTCACTCACTCACTCACTCACTCACTCACTCACTCACTCTGCCTTGTGTAACTAAGGACAGTTTAGAGGTAACTGACTCCCCCCTGTCTCCTTGCCGCAGATCACCAGCCTGCTGCAGTACACACTGAGACTGTGTGTGGAGACCAACTCCAGGTTCACGTCGGTCAAGAGGATCCAGGACTACATCGAGGTGGGTCAACATGTTGCTGGACATTCCAGGAGATCATCAAATAGGTTCATGTCCCGTATGTGAATAAAATTATCCCCTGTTGAATTTGTAACTTATGCGAACAGTAATGTCACACAATTCAGAGCTATTTAACACTAGTGAACTTAGTGAGACACAATGAAGTCTAGGGGGAATCAGGTTTATTGTCTTTATTTACAAGATTCGTTCTTGATGACTTTCTACTTGCCGGAATAAATCTGGGGCAGTGGAGTAGCGTAGTGGTTCAGGTTCTGATCCGGGTTTGATTCCCCACATGGGCATTATGTGTGAGGCCCATTTTTAGTGGGATATTGCTGAAATATTGCGAAAAAATGGCATAAAACTAAACTCACTGACTGAATATATCTGTGAACCAACACCATTGCCTTACTAAATGTAAGAAGAGAGATAACTCTCAAGGGTAACTGTTGAGAAGTTTCAATGAAAATATACCAGAAAGGAAGCATGATCAGTAACCCACTTTGACTGTGTTCAGAACCTGCCAGAAGAGGGCAGCACTCCGGCCGGGGAGAACGGAGACATTCCTGATGATTGGCCGTCGCAGGGGCAGGTCCGGTTCCGCAATTACAACATGAGATATCATGAAGGACTTCAGCCCTCCCTGAAAAAAATCACCCTGAATATCAGTGCCCATGAGAAGATAGGCATTGTCGGCAAATCAGGATCTGGTAAGCTGCTTCATTAATGTGTATAGTCCGTTTGGATCAAAGCGGACTGATGAATTGCAATGCAACTCGAAAACTAAAAAACATATAATACTCAATGAAACACTGATCTTAATCAAAACGTCAGAACAACTCTGTGGTTTGTTTGCAGAATTTATGTCCTAACATTAAAAAATGTTGTTTAACAAACTATCATTAAAATTTTGACACAGTTCACTATTTGTTACGAGGGAGGAGTGCAGAGAAAGGGAAACAGCCAGGTGTTAGAGAAGGACATGCACAAGTGCCCACCAAGTTATTGATTCATTAACCTGTGCAGTGCTGTCTCCATCCTTTCTCGCACACCTGGCTGTCCCTTTCTCTGCACTCCTCCCTCGTAAGAAATAGTGAACTGTGTCAAAATTTTAATGATAGTTTGTTAAACAACTTTTTTATTTTTAGGATATAAATTCTGCAAAAACCTCACAGAGTTGGTCTGACGTTTTAATTATGATCAGCGTTTCATTGAGTATTATATGTTTATTAGTTTTCGAGTTAGATTGCAATTCATCGGTCCGCTTTTGAGCCAAACGGACCATACCCATGAAGATCAGGGTTAGGATTAGTCTTCAGCAATGATGCGTATCAATGCACACTCATTGTGCGTTCTAAGATGCTTAGCGTTTAGAACAATCGAAAAAAAAATACATTATCAGACAATAAAGGTATAGTTTTTTGATGACGTAACAATTGAATGATGTTATCCCGTCACTGAGCCATTCTAGTGTGCCCCCTCGTAATCGAACCATTTTACGTTACGTCACAGTGTAAGCGACGTCACGATGCATGTCAGTTGTCATCGCCTAGTACAGCCTCCTACAGTAAACTACTGCATTGCATCCCGTTTCTTGGTTTGCAGTTGCTTCACTCACCTAACATCACTGGTGGAAACATTACATTTATGTTTTCTGACGCTTTAATTGTCTCAATTCGACTCGCTAAAGTTTTCAGCGATTAACGGTAACGTTCGCGAATGTTTACATTCCCACAATGCAATCGTGGAATGTCGCTAGACTACTCAGCTTCGTCTGGATGTACTGATCTAAACATACTTTGGTAGTAGAAATGCGACGCTCACATGGCTTACGTTAATCACAGATTTAATTAAAATACTTTAGAGAAGATATTTAATCCGAATGTAAACCGTCATGAAACTGTTTATCATTTGTTTTTCTGGTAACGTTCGTCTTAACGTAGGGGTGCAGACACATCAATAGAACAGCGCGCCAGTTAGCCCTGTGCGAGGATTCTTAATTTAGGTCACCGACACCGCCGCTTTGTTTTCTGCCTTAAATTATCGTAATTATCCTTAGAAAGTATTAAATTTGGCATCATAGAAAGAATAGTTAGAAGCTTTATCATCATATAGTGTAATTAAAACACACTTTTTCCCTGAACTATTATGACGTTAAAGCACTCGGACGCAAGCCGCCCTCGCTTTTAACTATAATAGTTCAGGGCAAAAGTGTGTTTTATTACACTATACATGGTGGTAGAGCGAACTGTATTTCTTAATTAAGGCTTGATTTAGAAGATTCAAATGGAAATTTGATACCTCATCTAAACCAATCAGAATGAAGCATTCTTTGATGTCGCTGTAGAATTCCTGTCAATAATTCAATGACATTTCTCCCCCAAAAGGAAAGTCATCTTTGGGCGTGGCTCTCTTCAGACTTTGTGAGACGACATCAGGAGCTATTGAGATTGATGGCAAGAATATCCGGGATGTCAAGTTGTCGGACCTGAGGTCAAGGTTGTCCATTCTGGTGCAGGATCCTGTTTTGTTTGTGGGAACTATCAGGTGAGAGATGATTGCCTGTGTCCTTGTTGCATTAGTGTTACAACAGACAGGTGTGTCCCTTCCACTGAGTCAACTCTGTAGATAGATACTCAGGGTGTTGATCACTGGATTGTCTGGTCCAGAGTCGATTATTTACAGACCACCACCATGTAGCTGTAGTGCCGCATTAAACAGCAAATTAACAAACAAACAAACAAACAAACAAATACACAAACAAAATCCTTCCAGTGATAAAGAGTTCCATATTATACGCGGCGTGACAAGTGAGACACATCCTTGAGTTGGGGTATTGCTCAAATTTCGACGTCTTGTGATAAGATTTGAAAATTAGATTTTCTGATGCCTTGTGAACATGAACAAAAAGATTTGTTTGTCTAAAATATGCCATGTGTGGGCTGCCTCCATTCCCTGTTACATGTGTACGTTGGGGAGGTAACATACCTGTAAGTCTGATATGATCTGGTGTTGACCAATTGTGAGAGGGCCGTGAAGTATCCTGTGGGTTAGCCTTGAGTTGATGACCACACCATGAACAAATCGTAACTTATGCATGTCTTTCAGATACAACCTTGACCCTTCCTGTCAGTGTCACGGTGATGCAGAGATGTGGGAGGCCCTAGAGAAGTGCCACATCAAGCAGAAGGTCAGTCCCATGATGTCACCCAGGGGGGAACATTTAGGCCAACGCTTTGTCTCTTAAAATATGGAATTTTGATGGAAACTTGATAACTCAATTTAACCTGAAAAGTGTCCCCTGAGAGATGGGGTTTAGAATATGAACCTAATGAAAACTGAAGTCTTGATAATGTCTCGCTGCTGCCCCTCACTAAATATCACATGTACAATTCATTACACTTGGAACATTGTTACACAATAAATAACACTTCCACATTGTTCAAACCCACCTCTGGGGCGGTGGGGTAGCCTAATGGTTAAAGCGTTGGCTCGTCACACCGAAGACCCGGGTTCGAATCCCCACATGGGCACAATGTGTGAAGCCCATTTCTGGTGTCCCCCGCCGTGATGATGCTGGAATATTGCTAAAAGCGGCGTAAAACTAAACTCAGTCAGTCAAACCCACCTCTCACTGTCACTCACTCACTCACTGTCACTGTGTCACTCAATTTTGTATGTGTTTAAACTCTGCATGGGGAATAACTCTGTTACTGATTTTACAGATTGCCTCCCTTGACAAGCAGCTGGACACGCAAGTGGACGAAAATGGCCGCAACTTCTCCATGGGCGAAAAACAGCTTCTGTGTTTAGCTCGTACTCTACTGAGACATACAAAGGTCAGTTGTGTAACGTCTTAAGTGCATCATGAATATGCATATATACCTGGGACCACACCATTCAGTAACATATGGGGCCAATGGGGTAGATTAGGGATGAAGAGTTCGATCACGCCGAAAACCAAGGTTTCAATTCCCCACATGGGTACAGTGTGCGAATCTCATTCCTGGTGTCCCCAACTATGAAATTGCTGGAATATTGCTAAAAGCGACTTTAAAAACATACCAAGTTTTATTGTGAAAAAATGGAAATGTTCACGAAAAATACAACTTGTTCATACCAGTTGCTTCATGTTACAATTTGTTTAGCTTTTTTTTGAGTCAAGATTTGGAATTTGTGTAAATGACCTATATCAACTTATTGACATGAATTGTGCACATATATTGACAGGCAACATCTAATTATTATAGTCTTGATCAAATGTCAGTTGGCTGTCTGTAGGGGTGTTTTTAGTCAGTATATTTGTAAATTTCAAGCAGTGAGTTTATCCCTTATACCTGCAAGACTTGTTTAGTTTGGGAGAAACCCAGTCAATAGCTTTTACATACAGGAGTGGTGGTGGAATTGGGTTTAACGTCGTGCTTGAGAATATTTCGCTCATATGATGACGTGCATGCGTGTGTATGTGTATGTGCGGCTGCTTGTACTAGACCAGACTGAAGCTTTTTTTTCTTATAGTGCTAGCCCACTGAGATACCATACCGCAGTGAAGCATGAATACCCCACTCAGACACATTATACTGACTCCGAGCCGACCAGTCCTTGTTGTACCCATTAATGCCGAGCGCCAGGCAGGGACCAACAAGTACCATATTTTAACGTCGTTTGGTATGACGCGGTCGGAGATCGAACCTGCGACCTTCCGCTCTCTGTCCGGACGCTCTAACCACTACACCACGGTGGCGGTCTTTACATACAGGAGATGTTGTATATACAGCATTTTGTATGGCCACATTAGTTTACGACACTCGTCAGCAGAAGTCTCTGCATTCACTCTTTCATACTGGAGATGTTGTGTGATAAGCACTATTGAACATCGGTACCTCCTAATGTTAGTTGAAGACACCAATCAGCAGAGACCTGCACATTCACCTTTACATGCACGAGCTGTTGTATGACAAGTACTAGTATGACACACACTATTGTACAGCTGCGATATGCCGTCTTCAGATACTGATCCTGGACGAGGCTACAGCTGCAGTGGACACACAGACAGAAGCTGTGGTGCAGCGGACTATCAAAGAGGCCTTCAAGAACTGCACTGTGCTCACCATCGCTCACCGACTCACCACAGTGCTAAACTCGGACAAGATACTGGTCATGGATAGCGGCAAGGTAATTGTATGAACAGAACAGCTGGGTGGGTGAGTGGGTGAATTAGTGGTTGGGTGGTGGGTGGATTGGTGAGTGGGTGAGCTAGTGGGTCTGGATGAGTGGATGAGTGAATGGCTGCTTGGGTGTGCAGATGAGTGAGTGAATCAATGGGTGGGTTTTGGGTGAGTGAGTGAGTGAGAGTGGAATTAGTGGTGGATGGGTGGGTTAGTGAGTGATTGAGTGAAAGAGAAAGGTTGGCTGAGTGAGTGAATGAAAGTGAATGGTTGAATGAGGGAGTAAGTGAGTGAGAGTGGATGGAGGGGTGGGGGTTGGGGGGTGGATGAAATTGGGCCTGCAGCCTCGATCTGGTACGACCACCCAGGGGTCTGGTCTGCTGGTCCTTGGTTTCACATAATGATTTTGTCAAAAGTAATTGTATAATATTTCTTATTTTGTTTTTACCAGTATGATGTTTGAAAAAATGTATCTAATTGTTTTACACTGCAGTTAAAATGACATTCATATTTTGATCCATGATGGTTTGCAACAGTTTCACCAACAGTAACAATTTGCGTTTCAGAATGTAGAATTTGACGCTCCTTCACAACTTTTGCGAAGGAATCATTCAAAGTTCAAGTCGATGGTGGAAGCTCTGAAACCACAGTCTCGGGATTCCAATATGGAGGAATCTCTAACAGAGCAGCTGATCCGAGCAGAACTAGCTCGTCTGAAAGAAGCAGATGCAAACAACCACATATCAGACTCTTATATATCTCTCTCGCCGACAGAACAGGCAAGGGAGCTAACTCCTGATCAGGAAGTTCATATTGTTGATGAAAGGACTAGTTAGTTAACAGTGCCTAAGAAATGGAGGGCTGATCGTGGCTTTATCTTGGACATCAATGAACCCTGAAGTGTTCAGATGCTATATACTTGGGTTTATGTTTGCAGCTCGAGTGTGTAGAGCCACCCATCAAGACTTCTTGCGTCACAGATACTGTGTGTGAAGGTCACTTTGTTGTCAATTGCCTTCATGTTTTACATCTAGATTTTGGCTTTAGGTCATTGGCTTTAGGTCAGTCCTTGTGATATATGTTTTTCAAACACAGATTTAATGCTTTTTGGTCTTGAATTGTACCTCTGTTGGGTCAGAGGTGTTTAGGTTTGCTCAGATGTATGTGTTTGGTCGCATGTCTTTGTATGATGTATGATTGTTAACTGGACAAAAAGTTTGTATTTTGTAACATCCTGACGATTTGCTGATGGATCAGTAGTAAACAATTTAGACACAAGTCTTATGCGGCCTTCACATGTCGAACTAAAGTTCGAGTTTGAGAGTGTGAACATTCCAACAACTCGCCACCAACACCAATTTCAGCCTTGTCAAACTGTTGTCGAAAAATAAGGATTGGTCTCTATTCTCACCAACTTTTCCATGAAACGTTTGAAGTTTTGTCAAATTTGAAGCGTTTGAAGTTTTGTCAAACTCATGTTGTTCAGAAACAACCAATCGCAGTGGTCAACGAAAATGTCACGTGATGTTTTGGTCGTCTGGTCAACTCGACCAACAAAATGGCATCTCTCAAATGACAGGAAAGTTTGACAACATGTATTTGACGTGTGAAAACGCGAGTTTGAACACTTTTAAAATTGTAACAGCACGTGTTTGCCATGTGAAGGCCGCTTTATATGTAGGAAGGTGCCAACCTCCATCTTAAGGCACCTGGCTACAGAAATTGTTCTTGCATCCAGTTGAAGAACTCTGGAGTCTGGTACATCTAGTACATGCAAATTAGACTGAGGTGTTCACATAGAATACATGGACACGATTGCAGATGACCTTGAGCTAAATATTTCATCGATTTGTCACTCTTTGCAAAACGAGAAGATCAAAAATACATTTCAGCATTGAAAATTGCATCAATGGATCAAATAAACATTGGCATCCGGAGTGCTACATCCAGAATAAGAGTTAACTACTCTCTGTGTCTGGTGTCCGCACCTTCGTGTCAAGTCACAGTCACCACATGAGAGACTAACATGGCAACTATATATTTATCATGTGTGTTCTCACAGATTCTCACTAGTATTAGAGGAGGTGGGGTAGCCCAGTGGTTTGAGTGTTCGCTCGTCATGTCGATGGGCCTGGTTCAATTCCCCTCATGTGTACAATGTGTGAAGCCCATTTCTGGTGTACCCCGCCATGATATTGCTTGAATATTGCTAAAAGCAGCGTAAAAACCTATCACTCACTCACTCACTTATTAGTATTAGGTCACAGCAGCATTGATTAATGGAATTAGTTCATTTGACAAAGTGTTGGACCGAGTGTCACATGAACTGCCTAGATATGTTGTGTTCGCAGTGTCCGACAGCTCTATTGGCTGGTAGAGTGCCTGCTTTAAGGCCTGATCTGCTCCCTTCTGTCCAGTTACACAAAGTGACCGACTTTTCTTAAGAGCAAATTGTGGAACAGGTTCTGTTCAAAATAGTGTCCAGTGTTATGACAACACTTCCATACTGTAACATTGACTTTTAATAATAATAATAATAATAATAATAATAATAATATTTTTTTGCATGAGAGTGAATTTGTTTTATATCAGGTGCTGTGATAAAGCAAGATTCGTGTACATTGGACACACACATTTAGCATCTAAATATTTAAAGAGGTGTTTGACGTAAAACTAACAATAACAATGTATGCTGAGCCTGCTATGTAATAAGATAATACACCTGGGTTTCAAGATGGATGACATTCGGTGTTATTCATTTAAAACAGGGATGCTGGAGTGACTGCAATACTGCTACTTAAATGTTGTTTTGTGACAAACATGATAAGCCAAATGTATAATATCACTTGGATCGAGTATCTACCTGTGTTACTATAACAACTGACAAGGCTTAAAGTTTAAACTATTTATTGATATATCAATATATTTGATACCAAAAATCAACAACCATTCTTTCCAGGTTTTCAGTTTTGAAATAAACATAACCAGTGTACTTAATGAAAAAAGAAGCTTATCAGCTTCAGAGGCAGAGACATTTGTGATGTAATTTGATTGTGATGTCATGGTGACCTATGATGTCACAATGACCTGCAACACATTTCATAGTAGTGCTATGTCCATTCTCTTGAATAACCTCTGTGGGAAGAGACTGTGCTATGTCCTGTGGAAGTTTTGAATGTTAAGAGTGTTATATTTTTATAGAACTTGTTTTTCCTGTGGAAGCAGGTAAACTGAACTCACTCACTCACCAATCTCGCTGTTGTTTCACTGTAATTTTTTGTTAGATGTTTTGATTGTTACAATAGAGGTTTCCTCGACCAGACCAGAATGGTTTGATCACCATAGTTCGACAACGCTTACCTACATGACAGCTCATCAGAGTGTTGAGTTCCAGGTATCATCATATTTGCCAAAGCCCCTGGTTGCCGAGGGGATGATCCGACCATTGTTGTGAAAAGGCTTTGCTCAATGTGCACCCCCCTTTCTCTGTATATGCCCTGGTGGAGCAACATGTTGTGAGGCATGGAAGATGGCATGGTGGACATATTGAGAAGATGGCATAAACATTTTTCATCATCATCATCGTCATCATCACCATCACCATCATCATCATCATCATCACAACCACCTACTGAGGGCATGTGTGTCCCAGTCATGAAGGCACCACAATTTGCTGTGCAGAGTTGCATGCCTTTGGCACAGCAGGATCCTGTGATTGTGGGTTTAAATCCCAATGGCCTAAGTTATAATTCTATGTTCGTCTGCAACTTATCCCTGATTGTGGGGTTCACCAAAGTGGATTGTAGGTCAATTGTTCAGTAGTAATAACATGTAATATTATAGCACTAGTGTTAGTATTCCGTATTCAAGGTGGTAAATAAATGTAGTATACCACTGTGGCATGTTGATATTAGTGTGGGGTATATAGAGGTATAGTACACGGCTGATATTAGCTTTGAGGATAATGTCCACTGCCAAACGCCTGCATTTATTATAGTGGTAGCTCTGTTTATACAAAGTAACCCTCTTGTTGATAAAGTGGAACCAGCGGTTCCTGTTTTATTTTATTATCCAGCACTTATACTGAAAGTAACAAATATAGGAACACAGGGAAATGCAAGTGTTCCTTTCATATTTTCCAGTTTTGAATAGAGCTGTGGGAGGAAATCTGAGAATAAATAAAGGATCACTGCCATGAAGTGGTGTTCCCTTATTTGTTTCCCTCAGTATATTTTGCTGTTGTACATGACCATGTAATCTGCATCTGTCGATGTAAATGTGTTGTCGATGGAGATAAACATTTTAGCATGTTTTAGACTTTAGAAAGAACCTGCCCTTATGCTGGGCTGTAGAAAGTATCAAGCAGTTTGTAAGGTAGATCTTTTTGAGTCAAAACAATTTTGGTGTTTGTTTTACTAACAGGTACTGATACAGCTGTGTGCATCCTTCAGCAAAGTAATAAGCAAAACATAAATCTACAGGAGACACATTGTTTCACCTCCTTGGTTCTCATCTTTAATGACAAAGTTTATAGATAACAAGTTCTTTTATTTCGTGAGTGTGACATTTCGGTACAAATTCTTGTACCATAGTCAAGCTGGAATATTCTGCTTGACACGGTTCAAGAATATGTATATTCCCCGAGGGTACATCAACCCATGGGCCATCGAGGGTACATCAACCCATGGGCCATCGAGGGTACATCAACCCATGGGCCCCGAGGGTACATCAACCCGTGGGACGGGAGGGTACATCAACCCATGGGCCCGAGGGACCACTACAACATATTTATCTTACCGAACACCTCAATGGTAATTTTGAACTGTTTGAAGCACGGGTAGTGGATCATAATGAGGAGTACCAGAGTTAGGCAACAGCCCAAACACTACTAACATGAAGTACCAAATGAATTCCCACAGTTCGGCATTTCCAGCAGGTAACAGAGAAAATGTTACTCGTTTGTAAGCGGGGTACATTGATTGGCTCAGCCAATCAGAAAACAACATTTATGTGTAAGGTAAGATAAGATGTATTGATTTGATTATGAATATGGTAATTATTTTACATATCTCTATATCAGATGTTATGTGGACTTCCTGAACTTACTTCAAACAGATTACATTAATGCTTACCTTTTCTTGTGAACTTACACTTTACTTTTTCAATTGCGATATGGAGGATACTAAACGACCTTCCGTGTAATACCATTTTTATTTGTATCAAAAGAGTGAAAGCGAGTTTGATACTAAATCTTTCACGAGTTTAATAAAAATGGTATTTCACGGAAGCGAATTTAGTATTTTGTTTATTACTCTTCAACATAAACTGATAGACACTGCCAGTGTGATGACTCAGCAAGGTCTAATACCATTGTGACAGAGGTATTAGCATTATGATGTCATAACTGTAAACCATTATGACATGATACGTCTGGCGGTATAACACTAGTGTAATATCGCTATAAAAATATTACACTGCAGTATCTTCCATGGGCGAGTAATAAATAATCTATATTTGCTACTCAAAATAATTGAATAAAAATTCTTTAAAAGGACCACAAAGTTAATGAAAGTAATATGAAAGATTCAAGTGATGCTTTGCCACTTTTAGAGTAAATTTATACTCACAATAAATCTGTTTTTCTTGTAATGATAATGTTGAGTCCATCATGAATTGACATAGTTTGTTTTGCATTTTACCATATATACATATACCCAAGTGAAACTTCGACTGAATCTTTCAAATAGCTGAGAAGAACAATCTGTTCATATACTTATGGTTGTAAGTAAAGCAACACCATGTACAGCTCCATGACTGTGGAAAGCCAAATATGGTGATGTTACTGCAATGTATCAAGTAACTTCTATGCATAAAAAGATATGTTGGTTCTCATTAATTATTCTAGTCATACAAATATTTTGACAATAGGTTTGACATAGTTACCAATATCAGTGGGACTCTTTGTTCTATGGCTATGGGTTTCAATGCCAAAGTTAAGATAAAATATGCATATTTCAAGGCATTGTCAACAAATACACCAGATTTGTTGTTGTTGTATTAGTGTGCTTCACTGTTTTTTTAATTAATGTTACTATTAAAAGATCTATTGAACAATTGACTGTTTTGTGTTGAGTATTACAAATGCTCCGTTGTCTTTGAAACCTATTTTCTCGGTTCAAGATGTATGTAGTTTGCCCAGATATTCACTTTGATTATGATTTTCTTTTAATTGTAGGTGATTTGTAAGTGATGCAAATTGCTCTCTCTTTGTTCCTTACCCTTCAATCACCAGTACAGTTTTCTGTACGTGAGCAGCCAATCAGAATGCTCCTTTCATAACAGCTTCATACAGGATGGTGTCAGCCATGTTTATTGCAAGGTACAGCTACTGCACATAGGTCTTACAAA